AACTTCTAGGCAAGAAGGTCTTTCCATCCCTTGATCTGATATGTTTTATAATATGCTTAATGTATCGAATTTGGTCATAAAATTCATGCCTATAAATAACTTTATGGCAAAATATTGACAATAACTTTTTGAATTTGACTGAATACAAAATATAATTTCAAGACACGGCATTTCGTACATTTATTAAAAAAGATTGTCAGTATGCTGAAAAAAATTGTACAATTGAATTTTGGTCGTGCCAAATCGATTGTTCACGTGTCTCCAGTAAATCAGCACAGTAACGGTTGATGTACGGTACCATTTTGCAAGGAAGGCCGCTGATTGAGTTTGCTGAGACGTGGTTGAGATGATTCTAAAGGATATGTACAAGGTGACTGGTATAAAATACTAGTTTCGTTCAGGAAGAACGATCGCATAATTGGATTATTTTACAAGCATATCAATTTAATTGTATGTTACGGTAATTTATTAACAAATTTAAAATGTACCTACAATAAATCTTGCATATTTGAAATTAATTTTTTATTAAATGATTTATGCGAATGATTGTAGATAAAATGTTAATAGGTGTGAAGTTTTCATGCATGAAGTACATATTGTATTGAACTAATGTAACTTTAGGAACTGAAACTATTTTTCCGGATTTAAATCGCGTATATTTGTTTTTTCAAACCAAATCTACATATATATTTCCTACGTGTAACAATCGCGAAAACCTAAGAACTCGATAATAAATATAGTTAATATTTAAATCGCTACTTTTCTCATGTAAGAGCAATTGAAACAAATCGAGCAAGCCGATTCAACTTTCACTATCGTCTTCCTTATGTCTCAAGGTCCCTGCCGTAAGCTAGACGTGATAAGCGTTATTATTAAATGTTATTGTTATTCTGCAAATAAGTATCTCATGTTGATGGATTTTTGTCATTTTTTGAGGCAATTAATACTCCGTTAAACATTTTACTCGACTTCGACCAAGTTAGTCTAAATACACATATAAATCACAATCTTACCACAAAGAAGTAGTTGTGTAAAAACTTTGTTTCGCATTAAAGGATGTAGACAATCAAGAACCTATAGATCTTATGTCCAAGGCCAATAACCTTTTAGAGTTTCATTATAATTTGTAACAAAGGAGACTTACACTAGAATTTCGTATTTTAGTTTAAAATAATTACATGCAAAGGGTCTGGGCCAAATGGACAATTTGATCAAGAATTCAAATCCAAAATTGTTTGCAAAATATAATAATTATAACTTTTTTATTTAAAAAAACCGACCTCAAAGTTTGTGAAATTACATCTTTTTGCCAAGTTTTATTGAAATCGGTTGACGGAAAGTCGGTGAAATGAAATGAACCGGATTTGGGGATAATTTGCCCTTGGGAGTGGAATATTTTCTTCAAGTTTGAATGGAATCATCTTTTCCAACAAAAAAAAAATCTTCGAGGGCGGTTCACAAATGTCACTCTTCACTCACTTCGGTCACAAGGTGTAATTTTGTTGGAATTCTCGTTTGATCGACTCAAACAGGGAATTCCACAGTTTGATGCCGGTTAAACAACGTGATGGAATTACAATAAAGTTAAAAAGGTGCGTAGGACAGCGTAGAGAAAGAGCGAGTGGTTTGCGATTGAGAGTAGCACTGTAGCGAGGAGTAATGGGATTGACGACAAAGTACAGGACGGACAAAACGCGGAAAACTCTAAACCGACGAATGGACAACCATCCAAGTTCGGACCGGAAATCTAAGACATGATCATGTTGACGCAATTCACACCGGAATTGTTTTTTAAATAACAAATAACTTTCGCCACCATTCTTCCTCCTTCTTCAAGGTTCCTGAAGACATGTCAAGGGCTGTTGTAATGAGATAGGTAATAATCTCATAACAAAGTTAATAACAGGCAAATGCTCATCACGTCATCACACGAATTGTGAGGTTAGAGGTCTTCGGGCTAAGTACAAACATTGCAGTATGTACCAAACGTCGTTATGGCTTGGAATCGAGATTTTTTTCTTGGCTATTATAATACTGCAACGAGTGAAGTGACAATGTTTTTCATATAGGCACGAACTTTTAACGTAAATAAAATGTTAAGTTTTGCAAGAATATTGAATTGTGTCGATCTATAAAGGTATTACAGGGCGCTATATTAAGAGGGGTCTATTTTTGAACTAAATGAATATATATCACGTACATACATCAAAACCGCTTGAAACCCAAAATAGACCATAAGGAACCTTTACCTGCGGACTGATACAAATATTCTTTGTATTATTTGTTATCATACAATGAAACTAATTCACATAATTATTATGCAGACGAGATCGAATAATGGATTTGATTACATCGAACAAACACTTGATTGCACATTTCCGCGTAGTAAAGCAAATACAGCTTTTGAGGTTTCATTACCGCCTTGATCGGCTAATCAAATTATTTGAGGTTTATTTCCTACTTAATATTCAAGTGGACTATAATCTTGACTTAAGTACCCGTATCACTTAATTGTTTTTAATAATATTGTGTAATATTTTATACTCCTACTGCTAATGTAGTATTCAATATAAAATATTAGCTTTTGTGCGGTGTTTTAGTCGCGCGCCGTGTGTATGTTGAATTATTTTTGATTAAAACGACTGATAGTATGGGCTTCACTTCAAAGCGCGTCTTTCGATTTGGCTTAAAGTACATGCTCTTGTATGCCCAAGATTTATTAGAGCAAACAAAATTTATTACATAACTCGACTAAAATTTAAGGGATAAAATAAAATAAGGAAATAATAATGTGTATTAAGGAATATAAGAGCAGTAGTACCGCAATGGGAGAACGTAAAAATTTGTAAATGTTTCACCTTTTGTTATATCATGATGAAATCAGCAATCAGCATTGGGCTAGCATTGCGAACTGGTGTATGAATTTGTGTTATGGTGGTATGAATTTGGTGTTCATAACACTATAAACCCTATCCCTAGTGTAGATCCGTCTAGCAGTGGAATGTGAAATTAATTATAAATTATTGACCTTTTGAATGCAGAAGAGGAAACGGGAAAAGTTGACTCAGTTCTTTGCGCTGGCGTTGGACTCAAATGTCAAAATATTGACGTCACAAATATACATACTAATTGGGGAAACTACAAAAGGTAGTCTTTATAATGTCTAATTTTTTATTAGTTGACAGGTGACTCAGAATTTTCTGCTGGCGTTGGACTCAAATGTCAAGATACTGATAAGATACATTTATTACGGATCTAAATCGGATTTGACTCAGCCGTCAGCGGTGACCATGGAACTATGTAAGAAGCCCGAAACGTTGGTTTGTTTGAAAAACAAATATACGCCATTTAGACTTGGAAATAGAATAGTTTAATTTCTAATGTGCAATAATAAACTGTAACAACTCGATAAAAAAAGGTAGTCATTTTGTATGAGTAGATTTTGTGTCTGCAATGTTGTTCGGTAGGGTAGGGTAATATACCAAAGTAAATTTTAAGTGTTATAAATAAATAATGATAAATAACGCACATACTCAACATAGCCCCCCATTAAGGAAACCCTGTGTCGCGGGTGCCATGGACACACACATAGACAACCACAAATTACACCCAAACTCACGAGAGAAATAAATGTAAGCCATACAAACATTTCTCCCGGCCCGGGAATCGAACCTGGGACCTCTGCGTGGCAGTCCGGCATGGTAAGCGTTCGGCCACAGGGGCAGTAAATGTTATGTATTTTTATTTTCCATACATTCATTACAAGTCCGTAAATATTGTTTAAATGTACTGTACCTTTATTTGTATTAACATTTCAGTCACAAACGGTCGATGCGTTAACATTAGTTGGATCGTTGTATAAATTATGTTTTTCTTAATTGTTGCACATACATTTATTTAAACTTTTTATTTACCAAAGTGAAGCGCAGAACGGTTATGTTTTAACAATTGCTAGAGAAGAAGAGCTGCAATTCAATAGCAATATAAGTACGTAGGTTATTTTGTGTAACCGGCATGGAGATCGTGAAAAAACTCTAACACTGTTGGTTCCTCTTCTCCGAACCGCTTTGTACGTTATAGGTCTAATGGAGATTCGAAACTTTTTATTTAGGAATATAGTAATTATTGAGTTGGTTTTTTCCAGACAGTATTTGGTATACATATAATGAAATGGTGATATTGATTCCGAATGACATTCTCAGCGCTCTTGACGACGGATGTGATTTTCTGATAATGCAGCACTGGTTGCAGTTGCATACGGCTTGGAAACATTAATTACTTTCGCTCCGTTTTATCGTACTACATAGTTTTGAAAGGAGGTGAAATACTTTCTTTTGCTTTAAAAAATATGTTTCTTGTTCTTACAAGAGATATATTTTTTGAAGTCCTTCTTTTTTCAAATACCTTGTGTTATTTATTCTATAAAATTTTGTAAACGCTTAAACGATGACGCAAATTTATTTACACTGATAAAGCCACTAGCTGGAGTAGTTAATTGTCGCTATGTATGTATGCCACGATGCGTCGTGACTGATCGCAACGGCGCGGTAGCGCAGGCGCAGGTGACAACAAAAACCATACCAGTTAACATCCTGTTGCAAGCCCACACATCCGTCTCGTCAAACAATAACTCTGGTTAAGTAGAATACTACTTCTGCTGTCAAGGTCGGGTATTCATCGTTGGGCATCCTTATGGGAATTATTTAATTCTCTTTTTTTTTGTCAAACATAGTACGTTGTTTGTACACTCGATTTGTACATTATTTTATTGGTACATATATTAAAATATTATTTTCTTAGCTGCGTTAGGTTATCAAAAATTATCTAGGATTTTATGCTGTGTTTTTCTAATCTCGCTTAAAAGCTGAGGGTGAACTGAAAACTCCGGTGTAACGCCCTGGAGTAAATTCCATAGCTGAGGTACTCATAGTACAGGGAATTCCCTAGTTCGAGTTCAGGTAATTGGTGTGTTTGTATTATACATTATTATTATTACTTACCAGGGTTACATAACGAGCTGGCGATGAACGCAACCACTGTCAGCATCAATACCAACCAGTGGCGCGTGCTCTTTTGCGCACCCATCTTGTCCAGAGTAGGCTCTGAAACAAAAACAAGATCCTTTAAAATCTTTCTAAGAAAGGGAGAGTAGAGGAACTAGGGAGGAACTAGGGCTATTCATAATATTTTTTTCTAAATGGATTTTTTTCCATGACCCATAGTTTTATTTATGACTCTGTATACTTTGAAAATAATTTTAACAATCATTCACACCCATGAGACAATGAAGTCCACGCCATAACTCAATAGCCCAGTTCCGTCGTACATACGTACGTCGGTGAACCGTGATACAATTCGGAAATGCGTATTTACAAAGCTTTGAGAACAAACATTGTTAGTTTATAAGATTCAAGTCCAATTCTTTGACGCTCTGTGTCCGTCCTGGGTGAAACACTTGAATAGATGACGAGTATTTCTAAATTTGTAATGGTGACAACTTTCGGTGGGAATGTTTGGTGTTGTAATTTAATGCGGAAGTTACACGTGATGACGGAAGTTTGAACTACACGAACTACCGACATTGAAATCGAAACTTTGTTAGTATTTCTAGAGATTGATATGAATTGCGTTTTTTAAAGTTGTTTAGATACCAAGAGTTACTTTTTAAACACTTTACATTGATCTACTGTATTTCTTTATAGCAATGTTTGTTTCTATAAATTTCATGTTCGTTCGTTGTCGCCGTTGTCGGTGAAGGAAAACATGTCTCCATTGGACCAGTGCGGCGGACTATGGTCTAAACTAAACTCTCGTCTTAGCGGGGACCCGTGCTTAGTAGTGGAATGTGTAATGGCTTGATAAAGATGACCATTAGTTTTACATATAACGAACATAATATTTAATAGTGAATGATATTGTGTTATGTAAGATAACAGTTATAAATGTGGTAGTTACATATTATTTTCGCGGTTGTAAAATTCTAACAAATACTTGAGAACAATGGCATAAGTGCTCATAAAGCGTAGGCAGGTGGCAGTTGTAACTCAAAAGTATGGAGGTCGGTGACCTCTCAGAGTTCAAGCATTTTTCAACGGAAGTCCGAGCCTTATGAGACCTCGCCATTTGTAAAGTTCAAATATGCTCTTAATACACTTCTTTGTTATTTATTGGCGATATATATTTGATAACACATATACAGATGAGTATATTTTAAGAAAATAGCACAGAACAGCTGTGTCATTTTAAAATTATTCTGCGTGTCAATAGTAGGTATATTTGACGAACTTCGTGGTCGAATGGCTTGCACACCGGTTTTCATTGTGTTGCCATCTCTAAGGTACCGGGTTCGATTCCCGGCCGGGTCAATGTATACAAACTAACTTTTCTATATTATCTCGGGTCTGGGTGTTTGTTATGTGTTGTTTCCAATTTCCAAAATACAAGTGCTTTAGTTACTTATTTTGGGATGAGAGCAACGTATGTGATGTTGTCAAATAGTACCTAATAATTTTTTAAGTAATAATATCACTGCTTATTACTATGACAGGGAACTTCTGTTTTAGAGCTACGGGTTATTTAAGAAAGAGGTTTGCTTCAATTATTATCCTTTTATGTTCATAGTGAGATTTACACGTTAATAAACTTGAAACACAACATAAAAACTTTATAAAGTCCTATAAAGTTTTTATGTTGTGCTTCAAGGACACTTTCTTTACCATTTTATCTTATATGATTAAGTATATTGGGGTGCACGAAAGGAGCTTCTCCGCACGACGTACCATAATTTTCCTGCATATCTGGCGCATCCTGCGCAGCAATCGGCGAGTACCTTACGCCGATTGATAAATCACGCATTACACAGTAGTAATAAGTATATTAAATCCCTTCACGCATTATAATAGTGTAATTATGCTATCGATACGATAAGAAGAATTATATATGGTATACTTTCCATTTATTCAATGCTGTAACCTGTAATTATTCGAAAATGTAGCTTCGAAATCCTGATTTTCGTAATGCATCAAAATTTACTTGCAAAAAAACTGCAGTTAAAATCTAGAACAAGACGAACGATTTCAAAATAAACCTTTTGATAGATTAGCGGACATACAGATCAGATATCTATGCAATGCTTATATAGATGAATACGGCGATTTAAATCCTCTTATCATTGGAAAGTGGAGCGAAGAAGAGTTGTGGTTTAGCACAAAAATATATGATAGTCAGCGTCAAAATTTCCACGCCTTCAAAACAACGGACCAACTCTTTTCCACTCTACTAGTTATAGTTTCTTTTTATAGTTCGTAATTGATTATTGGCTTAAGAAAATTTCCCAGGCTTTATAGTAGGTAAGTCGTTCTACGAAGCAAAGTTTTCAGAATGTACGTTTTTTACAACTATCTCTGATTAAAAGTGACGGGGGGGGGGGGGGGGGGGGGACGATTATCTACCGTAAAGCATTTATTATATTCTCTTACAACTCTTACAAATTGTAAATACATTGTAAAGTGGATAGTTGCTATGGTGGCAAAGAAATAATTTTGTATGACTGAAACAACTGACTGTATTGATTGCATGTAAATATGAATACATAAATCTTGATTTTACACCTCGTACCTACTAATGCAAATTGATCAAGTATCGTAGTTTCATTTACTTCTATTTCCATTGCTTTCTACTATAAAGAACAAAATTATCATTGTAGTACATTGCAGGTATTGTATATCTTTCAACGCGTAGTAAATGTGTCAATTTGCAATGTGTGTTTCTTGTTTCCATGCAGAGACGTTCACTCATTTTAGCTTGATAAAAAAGCCAATTTTTACGTAACACCTGCGGCACAGGTTTGTAGACTGTTTTTAGATGATTATGATATTTTTCACAACTAATTAAATAAGAATACATTAGCGACGCATTAATCAATTCCTCTAAAGAACAGAATGTTACATAGGGCGCACTATAAGCTTCCGGAATTGGCCATTTACATAAACAATATTTAAAAAGTAATTACAACATTTGAAAATGGAACTCTTTAGCTGTAGAATACAGTTGTTTCATCTGACTGTCACTTGTTTTTATATTGTGGCGTCATTTTAGAAATTGGTTGTCTACATCACCATGGATTTAACTCGTGACAATTTTCGTAGTATAATTTTCTACGACTTTAAGTGTAATTTAACAGCTCAGCGAACTTTCGCTCAGCTTCAAACTGCATTTGGCGATGAAGCACCATGCAAGACAACTATTTATAGCTGGTTTGCAGAATCAAACGCGGTTGCGTGAATCTCAGTGACGAATTTCGTGATGCTCGCCTGTCCACTGCTGTGAACAACAAAAACATCGATGCTGTGCGCCGTATGATGAAAAAAAAACAGGCATGTTATTGTGGAGAAACAAAAAGTATTATTATTATTATTATTATGTGACATACCATGAGAATCAGGCATCTTTAGGCATAGGCATGAGTCAAATACAATCAATACTACACAAACATTTGGGTATGAAAAAGCTGTGCTCTCGGTGTATCCCACACAATTTGACTGAGGCTCAAAAAACGGATCGCGTCACATGGTGCAATGCCATGCTTACTAGATTCAACAAAGGGGCGTCAAATTTGGTGTGGGATATAGTAACAAGTGACGAAACATGGATTAATTGTTACGATCCCAAAACAAAGCAGTAACCGAGCGTATGGGTCTTTCGAGACGAGGCGAAACCAACCAAAGTAGCGCGCTTGCAAAGTGCCTCTAAGCGGATGATTGCTTCTTTTTTTAATAAAAGTGGATACGTGGCTACTGTTGCTTTGGAGAATCGTTGTACCGTCAACAGTGATTGGTACACGACTATTTGTTTGGCGGAAGTTATTGACAAACTCCGTAAAAATAACCCTAAACGCCATATCATCTTGCACCACGATAATGCCGGTTCTCACACGGCCAGACTGACAAATGAATTTTTGAAGGTAAACAACGTTGACCTTATGAACCATCCCGCGTACAGTCCCGACATGGCACCTTGTGACTTTTATTTATTTCCAAAAATTAAGAACCAGTTACGCGGTCAACGATTTTCATCACCTGACGAGGCTGTCGAAGAGTATGAAAAATATGTTTCAGACATAGTCACGGAGGAGTGGCATAAATATTTTCAAAATTGGTTCATTCGTATGAAAAAGTGCATTAACGGTAACGGAGAATATTTTGAGAAACTATAAACTAATTTCTGACCATTTATAGTAGCTTTTTCTTATTCATTCCGGAAACTTATAGTGCGCCACACGTTATAGCATGGTGAATTATGCGATCTTGACTCACGGACGTAAAAAAGGACGCTTTAAATTTGTGTGTCGACAATATTGGTTAATGAACGAGAATAAAAAATAATAGTAAATAAGCTTTTTTATTTTTTTCACATATTTTCTATATCATTAGTGTCAAACATTTCACAATGTTAAATGGACGCGCAAGCGCAAGGACCTAAGAACGATTGGTCAGAATGTTACGCTTTGCGTAACCTCTGAATGTCCGCTGTTGCAATGCAATAGACAGAGATGTTTTTGTTTCTAACAAACGCTTGTACCGAGACAATATGGTTTATATTAGCGGCAGTAAATTTAAATCCAAAACCTGTGTTTTGCTGTTATATTTTCTCAGTTCACAGATAAAGAATAAAATATTAGAATAGAACGGAATAGAAAAGAATTCATTTATTCAACGCCACTACACAAAAATATAAGAATAGAAAGAAAAAAAATAAAGCAAAAGTAAAACAAAAAATAAAATAACAAAAAAAAACGACGAAGCAAACATAATCCAATTTTTGAAACAGTCAACTCAATTTTAATAAATGTTATGTGTACGGCTGTGGCGTATGTAAAAGGATATACTCAGCCAATGTCACAGCCGAGTAAAGACTGTGCCGCTGATTTTAAGTAAATCCTAAATTTAGTAAGTTTAAACACGGTCTCGACGTCACAACGGTTAGAAGTTCTAGGCGCCAGATTTGGAGGTTCCGAGTTCTTTTCCTAGTAGGACCAATTCGAGAAACGAACCTTTTCAAATTGGTACTCGTTTGGGTGTTGATGTGTTTGGTGTGTTGATAC